TTGCCAAAAACGTAGCATCATTATCACCTTCAGTTCAACTGTAGGTGCATTTTTAGATGACGTAAGAGATTGTATCCGGTTCCTAATTAGGTTGGTAACAAAAAGAATGCCCTCATGATCGAGCCTGTACCTTTTTATCAATTCATTATTGTCGTACGTCTGCAGGACGTCCTTTCTTTGACGGAAAGTGCGCGGTCTCCGTCTGGGTGCGCGTAGTGCAGCTGCCATCATTCAACTCCTAACTGGTTTAGGGGTCCTCTCCAGCTCTCTTAAATAATTTAGGAGCTGAGACCAAGTCTTAACACTTAAGAATGTTTATGCATGCCACTTATTCCTAAGTCTGCGAGTAGGAACAAAATCAAGTCACTCTTAGAAATGTGACGCATTTAAGAGTGAAATTTTACTCTGAGAAGTTTTATGCATACCAGCCCTGAAAGTTTTTTATACTTTTAACAGCAGTTAAAAGCACAGCAATTTGCAATTTTTGTAAAAACAAAGTTTTGAGAGGTGGAAGCAGTGTTTAGTGGAAAATCCCACTAAACAGAGCGCATGCAATTGAGCAAGAAAATTTGGGTAATATGGAACAAGAAATGCCTGCCTCAAAAACGCTTAAAACAAGATGCATAAATGAGGTGGAACAGTGCATAAATGTGGTGGAACAGTGCGTAAATGAGGTGGAACAGTGCGTAAATGAGGTGGAACAGTGCGTAAATGATTGACGGTTTGTTATGTATGTTTCTAGTGGGCTAATAAAAAATGTTGGGTTACGTTTCTTTCATTTGTATTTTGTAATTTAAAAATAATAATATATTACGTGTATAAATATATATTATATGTTTACTATATATTAAAATATTAAAATAAGAAGAGGTCTAGTATCGGAATCTGTATGGGTATCAACAGTTGTGTACTGGAATTGGATCAGAACTGGAAAAATGTGGATCAGCCCATCCCTATTTATATAGGATATTTACATTTTTTGACATTCCAATGTCAGAATATTCTTAAGAATTAAAAGTTTGTTGCTCTTTGAAAGGGTGCAGTTCCATTAATATGCTATTATTATATCAGTGGCATAAATAGTCTTAAAATGACTGAATATCATCATTGACTGCAATTATTTCTGACGGTTTATTGTCCAACACAAACAGTTATCCTGACAGGCCTAGTCAGGCCTGCATAAGACAATGGCAACCTTAAGAAAAATCTGCTTGGTAACCAAAGCTGTGGCTATGCAGTGATGCAGAACCTAAACAAGGAGGAAGGGGGCTCCACTTGCTAGCAATTATCTACCATAAAACAGAGCTGATTTGCTTGGACTCTAATGTGGTTACAAAGCAGAACAATATACACTATGGACAAAGGTACTGGACACCTGGACATTACACCCACAGGAACGTTTATGACGTCCCATTTTAAATCCATAGGTATCAATGTGGAGTTGGTCCCCCTCTTTGCAGCTATAACAGCTGCCACTCTTCTAGGAAGGCTCTCCACAAGATTTTGAAGTGTGTTTAATTCATCCAGAAGTACATCCAGAAGTACATTTATGAGGTCAGGCATCGATGCTGGATGTGTAGGTCTGGCTCATAATCTCCATTCTAGCTCATCCCAAAGGTGTTTGATGGGGTTGAGGTCAGGGCTCTGTGCAGACCACTCCACACAGCAAAAACAAATAGGTAAGTATCAGACGTGGATTGGTCACATATGACCGACAATAAAAAGGAAAAAAAGGCACAAGCCTTATTGTGTTGGAAACAGCTTCCTTCAAAATGTCCCTGGGTTTTTAGGTATGCATAAGGTGAGCAGGACTCTGGGCAAGGTGTGTCTCACCTGCTATACTTTGACCTTTGAGCCGCCACTAAACAGGCAAACACTGGAAACATTCATTATGCCAGCCATCCCCGCTGAGCTGTTACCTGGCGATCAGAAGTATCTGTCAAAACTACATTAAACAGCCGCATAGTGAACACAAAAACCGTGCATCCAATGTGTAAGCCTGACACATCCCCTCTCCTAAACAAACATGGCAAACCGTGCATCCAATGTGTAAGCCTGACACATCCCCTCTCCTAAACAAACATGGCAAACCGTGCATCCAATGTGTGAGCCTGACACATCCCCTCTCCTAAACAAACA